GGGTTGTGAGTATGGGAACCCTAGTTCACCTCCGTCTTCTCCGCCTCGTTCTCCGACCGGCGAGTCTCTCCGGTGATCACATCCGCACTCTCCGTCCGTAAACAGCAACCGAACCGGCAATATCTAACCATGTCGCCCTTCACCTCCGATCCCTACTTCACGGTTCGAAAGCCTATTCGAAAAACGCGGTATCTGAGATTCACCCTTGTGGTTGTTTGGCTAGAGTTGGAATCAAAATCAGTTACACCCTTGGGTTTCACCATTGTCATATTATCCAAGCTTGAACTTTCATATCTTGCATTCAAGTTGTTCGATATATTGCCCAAACAATTCTTCAATTAATTATGGGCAAAAAGAAGGGTACCCAAGCTGAACCAACCAAGAAGCAAAAAGCGGGCGAATCCTCGCCCCGAGATGCCCCTTCGGAAGGTGAACGGAGGGACCTTCGGCAACAATACGGCTCTACATTCTCTATTTTTTCACGAAAGGAGGGGGAAATATATTCTCGCCTCTCGCAAAAAGAGTTAGTGAGGCCTAAGGCGGTGGATTGGAACCTTTTGAACGACTTGGGAATTCTTAGTGATGTGTTGAAGTACTTGAAGATCCTGAACCTGACCGAATATGCCAAGGTCGAGGAGCGTTCTTATAGAAGTCTCATGCTCGAGTTCTATAGCTCATTCGTGCTCGCCGATGGGAATGAGTACTTCACTTGCCGACTATGGGATAAAGAATTGAGGGTGGACAATTCCGTGATGAAGAAATTTTTTGGGTTCACTTTGGCCGGCACAAGAAGCAAGGCAATCGAGTTCGACGCGAAGAAGAGTTGGGCCGAGCTTTTACCGCACACGACTTGGGACTCTGCCGGCATGTCAAACGGGCTCATCCAGGACTTGGCCACAACCGTCGTGCACAGGTTCATAAGCTACAACATTTCTGGGAAAAATGAGGCGAATAAGGTGAGTGAGGTCGAGCTTTACCTCCTCTGCGCAATGCGTGCGGGAGTGCAAGTGTGTTCTATGACCTTTCTGCAGAACACCTTGCAAGAGATTGCACTCAATCAACGGGGAATTCCGGCACTTGGGCATGTGGTGACCGCTCTTGCCAAACACTTCAAAATCCCTACACAAGCCCCTAATGTCGACATGACGTGGTCGGTAGAAGGCACCCCGATGAGGCGTACCAACGAGGATGAGCTAAAACAGTCTGACCTTATCACGAACCGGACCACCATTCAAGAGTACACGAACCGTAATGCTTATAAGGCCTACTTTAAGAAGCTCCAGAAGAGTGCACATAATTCCGATCAGGCGGGGTCATCTCGGCAGCCGACAGAGAGAGAGCAGATAAATTTCGACGGCGCCCATTTCCTCCCACCTCCATCCACGTGGACACCCGGCCTGCACCAACAGCCTGAAGCTCCTCCATAGCCCGAAGCTCCTCCACAGCAGCCACCGGGATGGTGGACCTCTTTTCAGACTTAGTATACGGCCGACATCCGCTCTATTAATGGCAGATTAGATGCTCAGGATAGTAGGTTGGCCACCATCGAGAGCCGTCAGAGCATACAGTGGGCCAGCTGGGAGACCCAAGAGAAGAGTCAAGGGGACCATTGGGAGATCCAGCAGAAGAGTCAGTGAGACCATTGGGGGACCCAACAGTAGACCCACTGGACTCAGGTAGGTACGCACTTCGATAGCCTCGCTGACGGTCTCCGGTCTATTCGCGAGCGGCAGGACCAGCAGGATGCTCGGCTGGACAGCTGGGATCAGAGGTTCACCCAGTCGGACACCCGTTGGACCTCGGGACCCAGTCAGCCATACCCCTCTCCGCCACCACGACCTTCGGATGCACAGTGAATTCTCACTGTGCTTTGAATATTGTTCGCACATTTTCATTATGTTCTATCCTAGGTTTTGAATGTTGTTCGTACTTTTGATCTTTAGAACATCTTTTTCGGATTGTTATTCTCGGATTCCTTTTGCACTCGGATTGTTATTTTCGGATTCCTTTTGCACTCTGATTATAACTTTGAACCTTCGTATTAATCGTAAGCTTCTATTTTCGTTGACATCGCTAGGTTTTGAATGTTTGTGTTGACATCGCCAAGAGTAACTAAATTCTCTATCTAGGGTTAGATGATTGTCGTTCGGGTTTGCAGTTTGCGCCATGTTGTTTCTTGTCTAGAAAACTGGTTTTTTGAGCAAGAAACGAGTTTCTTGTTCAAGAAACGGGTTTCTTGCTCAAGAAACGGGTTTCTTAAGTCAAGAAACGGGTTTCTTGGTCAAGAAACGGGTTTCTTGGTCAAGAAACGGGTTTCCTTCTCAAGAAACCAATTTCTTGCTCAAGAAACGGGTTTCGTGCTCAAGAAACGGGTTTCTTGCTCATGAAACGGGTTTCTTGATCAAGAAACGGGTTTCTTGCTCAAGAAACGGGTTTCTTGGTAAAAAAACCAATTTCTTGCATATAAATGTTTGTGTTGACATCGCTAAGAGTAACTAAATTCTCTATCTAGGGTTAGATGATTGTCGTTCGGGTTCGCAGTTTGCACCATGTTGTTTCTTGTGTAGAAAACTGGTTTCTTGCTCAAGAAACGGGTTTCTTGGTCAAAAAATGGGTTTCCTGCTCAAGAAATGTGTTTCGTGCTCAAGAAACGGGTTTCTTGGTCAAGAAACGGGTTTCTTGGTCAAGAAACCAATTTCTTGCATATAAATGTTTGTGTTGACATCGCTAAGAGTAACTAAATTCTCTATCTAGGGTTAGATGATTGTCGTTCGGGTTTGCAGTTTGCGCCATGTTGTTTCTTGTGTAGAAAACTGGTTTCTTGAGCAAGAAACCAGTTTCTTGTTCAAGAAACGGGTTTCTTGGTCAAGAAACGGGTTTCTGCTAAAAAAAAAAGGGGTTTCGTGCTCAAGAAACGGGTTTCTTGCACAAGAAACGGGTTTCTTGGTCAAGAAACGGGTTTCTTGCACAAGAAACGAGTTTCTTGGTCAAGAAACGGGTTTCTTGCTCAGGAAACAAGTTTCTTGACCAAGAAACGGGTTTCTTGCTCTAGAAACAAGTTTCTTGACCAAGAAACAGGTTTCTTGCTCAAGAAACCATTTTCTTGCTCAAGAAACGGGTTTCGTGCTCAAGAAACGGGTTTCGTGGTTAAGAAACGGGTTTCTTGGTTAAGAAACGGGTTTTTTGATCAAGAAACGGGTTTCTTGGTCAAGAAACGGGTTTCTTGGTCGAGAAACGGGTTTCTTGGTCAAGAACCAATTTCTTGCATATAAATGTTTGTGTTGACATCGCTAAGAGTAACTAAATTCTCTATCTAGGGTTAGATGATTATCGTTCGGGTTCGCAGTTTGCGCCATGTTGTTTCTTGTGTAGAAAACTGGTTTCTTGAGCAAGAAACCAATTTCTTGAGCAAAAAACGGGTTTCTTGGTCAAGAAACGGGTTTCTTGCACAAGAAACGGGTTTTGTGGTCAAGAAACATGTTTATTGCACAAGAAACGAGTTTCTTGATCAAGAAACGGGTTTCTTGCTCAAGAAACGGGTTTCTTGCTCAAGAAACGGGTTTATTGCACAAGAAACGGGTTTCTTGCACAAGAAACGGGTTTCTTGGTCAAGAAACGGGTTTCTTGCTCAGGAAACAAGTTTCTTGACCAAGAAACGGGTTTCTTGCTCAAGGCAAAGAAATATCCCGCGGCCAAGGCGAAGAAATACCCCGCGGCCGTGACAGGATCCCACGACTGCGAGAGTTCTCCGATGCTGCGAGATCTTTATTGCTGAACTTCATATTTGGGACCCAATATTTACTCGTCGCGGCCGCGGCTATGAAATGCTCCGCGGCCGCGACAAGCTTCCGCAGCCGGCCGCTAGAGTTCTTCGAGGCCTCAAGATTTTATTGCAGAACTGGATATTCGGGACCCAACATTTACTCGCCGCGGCCGCGGATTTGGAAATTCGCGCGGCCGCGACCAGTAATTTTTTTATATTTATTTTATTTATTTTATTTATTTTTTGTGTTTCATTCTAATTTTTTGGGACTTCACACACTTCACTTCAATTTTCATTCATCTTTAAAATACACTACACACATCAATATATCCCACAAAGTTATTACATTAACCACAAACAAATCAATCGTACAAATAACAACCCAATATGTCTTGCCACAAAGAAAACATTCATCTACGATCAATAAAAAACAACATATAAATGGAAGAAAAGCACATAAACTAGGTAATGTTTTGAGGACACTTGTTCCTACGGTGGCCAGGTTGCCTACATTTACCACACAAACGAACTTTGGTAGCGGGACGTCCAAATTGAATTGGTTGCTCAACATTTTGGACTAAGGCAACACAAGTTGTAGAGTAATGCCCAATTTCGTGGCATCGTGTACAAAATGATTTACTTCGAGAGCTCGAAGAAGGGCCAGTAGAAGGTATGCGGTTTGACCTCGGTCTTCCGGCTTGCTTGGGATTAATAGGGCATTTGACAACTATCAAACTAGGTGTTGTAGTTAAGTCCCAAGTACTTGGATGCGCAATTGGCATGATTATGGGCTCGTAAAGTTTGCGCCATGTTGTGGTCTTGTAGTAGTCGTGCACATATCCATACACCGATTCGTTTGCCTTCCTAAAAATGGTACATGCATAGAACACATTACCACATGTGTAAGATAAAAATATGTATGTAAACGTTGAGACTTTTATTAAATTAAAAAAATGAAAAAAATTACCCGATAGCCTTAATCGCATGTGAACAGGGCAATAAATCCACCTGAAAGAGATAACAAGTGCATGTTCGATCATTCAAATTGACAACAAAATTCTTGACCCCGTCCTTCACGTGGTAAACGTAGTGATTGATATTTGAAGCTTCCATTTGGTCTGCTGCAGTTTTATAATCCATTAAACGCTTAGATATTGATGGAGGAACTTCACACTCAATCTTTTCTGTCTCGACACGTCTTTTGTGAAACCACTCTTGCATAATGTTTCGAATACATTCAAACAATGAGCAAACATGCAATTTTCCTTGCCCAACGCAACCTATTGTTAAGCACCTCACAAGCATTTGACGTCATGAAACTATATCGTCTCACAGGACATTGACTTCGTGCCCACCTAGTTGGAATGGCTTCAATCAAATCCTCCCATGTTTTATGATGTTTTGCCGCAAGCATGACCACCGACTTTTCGTACACAACGGGAGAATAAGTGTATGAAGCTTTCATATATAAACCAACAGCTTTAGACCCGTGACTTCGAATATTTTGTCGAAGGTGGTAGGAACATATGGCATGTACGACTTCAGGGTAGACAACCTCCATAGCAGACTTTATTCTCGGGTGGCGATCAGAAACAATTACTAAATTTTCCGGACATCCGAAAGTGGAGCGAAGCTTTTGGAGAAACCACATCCACGCATTGTGACATTCCTTATCACCGATACCAAATGCCAAAGGAAAAATTTGTTCATATTTGTCCTTTGTAGTTGCTACAAATAAGATGCCTTTATACTTACCCTTCAAATGCGTACCGTCAATCACAATAACGGGCCGACAATAACTGAGGAAGCCTGGAGACGCATGAAAAGAAATGAAAGCATACTCAAACACGTCATCTTTATCTGTCTCAATGTATGCCGATGTTCCAGGATTTTCCTTCATCGACATATGAAAATACGCCAACAAAAGTTCCCAGGATTTCTTGTGATCTCTATACATAAAGTCGTAGGCGGCGTTTTGAGACCTCAAAGATGTATCGTATTTTAGCTTAATGCCATGATCACGCTCCATGTCACCCATAATCTCTGCAGGCTTTAATACTCAGCCCTCTGTCAACAACTTCGGTGCGAATAATGCTCCAATGATCTTTGCAGGCAATTGTCGAGGGGCTGAATGATTTAGGTTAACTGAGCATGTATGTGGATGGATAAATTTTGAAATTTTCCAACTACCTCTAGTTAGTGCATTCGCAGAAAGCAAGAATGGGCAATTTTTATGCTTGCACACAACCTTTAACCTAGAATTTGAAGATCTCGGTGTTCGAAACTCCACTTTATGCTTCAAATGGTATAAACCCACTTTTACCAACAAGTCTTCCTTACTTTCAATGACAACGCCTTTGGCTAATTCACGGTCTATCATTGACGGCTCTTCAGACGAAGGATGAACATCAACATTGTGAAAATTGGCTTCGGGAATCCTCCAACCGCTACTCGAACGAGTAGCGATTTCATTCAAATCGTCCTCTTCAATAGCAACCCCTCCAGAAAGGTCAAGCCGAGGAACATTGTGGATCGCTATACTCTTCTTGTTGCGTAGAATATGCTCATTTAAACCACCCATCATGTTTGAGGGGGACACAACATTGTCGCTGATATCTTCATCTTCTTCAATTATGAAGTCCGGATCATCAATGTTATCATCCATATCATTTAGAAGATCATCATTGCAAGGATTATCGTTCATGTTCGTCTCATTATTGTAAGGATCACAAAATTGCTCGTTATCAAAACCTTCATCATCAACTTCATCATCACCTTCATCATCAACTTCATCATCACCCCCATCATCAAATTCATCATCAACTTCTTCATCATGACCTTCACCATCACCTTCATCATTCCCAGTTGAATACCCATTGAACCCGCTATCCACACCCCAATCGACATGTTCGGGAGAATGTCGTGAGGCACCGGGTTGATTTGATTCTACCCTTTTAGAGGTGTCAGGCACCATGTTGTCATTGTTCGCCGGATTAGATGTTGATGGTTGACTCATTATAGGTGGATACACAACACCATATGGATAGAGAGGTGGGCCCTGAGCGGCAAATAAATTCATAAACCCACCTGGATAGCCATACGAAGGGTACATTGGTACACTCGCCTGAGTATACGGACTTGGACTATGTTTCGGCTGTAATGTGACATAGATGGTAGGTATTGTGAACATGGCAGACACATTTCGCATATCTAATTCACAAGAGATACGCCATTTCTCCACCTCTCCGTTATCACCGGCCACTAAAAAGTGAAATCGATAGTCGCACATGTTTCTATCTCCACGAACAATGTCATGAACCCTATTCATGAAAGCTTCGTATGATGACGTCCTAAGACATAAAAAATTCATTTCTGTCTCTCCATTTTTGTACACATTCCCATTCCAAAAACCACTGTGAACAATTCGCACTTGACCAATGTCCATCTGAAAAAATTAAATAAATAAAATAAAATCTTAATAAAAAATTCATAAACAGTTTCTTACGAGCAAAGTTAATTGAGCAAAAAATATGTTACATCTTGTTCAAGAAACCGTTTGATGCTCAAGAAATCAGTTTCTTGACAAGAAACCCGTTTCTTGTCAAGAAACTGGTTTCTTGTTCAAGATACCTGTTTGATGCTCAAGAAACGAGTTTCTTGTCAAGAAACTGGTTTCTTGTTCAAGAAACTTGCGTGTTGAACCGGAAGAAAATGTTTCTTGTCCTTTCTTGTTCAAGAAACCGTTTTTTTTTTCACATAAATTGTTTATTCTTCAATAAGCGATTCTTCAACTCCTAAAACTCCAAATAAACGGCTCAAGCACAAAAAAGTAATGAACTCTAACACACGACCCCTCCTTTTCAAGCACAAAAAATTGATTTTTTTTAACTCTGAATAAATATTATTTCAAAAAAATAAAATGGTGCAACACAAATCAATAATGTTGGGAACAAAAATATAAAAATCTATTTCAAATTCTTTTTATTTAACATAATAAAAAAAAATTAGGTTTAGGTCAATGTACCTTTTTTCTTCTCAAAAAGGGATTCACTTGATGTGTTGGAGATGATTTTTGTTCCAGATGATTCACTTACGTAAATTTTGGGAAGACGAGATTTTTTTTTTTTTTTTACAGGGGACGCGAGACGCGAGAAAGAAGAGGAGAGAAGAAAGAGAGAAAGAAGAGAGAAGGAAGAGAGAAGAGAGGCTGCGCTGCTTTTTCTAACTTTTTCAGATTTTTTTTTTTTTCAATATCTTTGATAGGTAAATAATAAGTAAGGGTAGAATTGTACTTTTAAGTGCTAAAATGGCTAGATTTCGTTGTTTTACAAAAAGTGGCCATATTTCATTTTTTACTTCAAAAAATGGCTAGAAAACCGCCCCACTGTTTTAAATTTCTTAATAGACATGTGTTGATGTCTAAAAATGACCAAACAATGTGTTCGAACTGTACACTAGTTTGTATACTTGGTTCGGTCTGCAAAAACAGAAATTAATATGGAGTTCGGTACCGAGAGTGGACCGAATGGTCGTTCTATCCGTGACTTATATAGCATTTAATGAGAACATTTACTCATTGCATTTAATGTTCCTTCTTGTTCCTTTTATAGGAGATTTGAGGACTTGTTACAATCATTTTTAGGATTTTCGTTTTCTATCTTTCTTTACAAGATATCCTTGGATATTAGTCATTCAGAATTTAATGCCTTTGTACTACTTAATCTAACGTCTATCTAAGTAATGCGCCCGGATCGTTACACTTGTCCGCATTCATTGAGCTCCATTAGATGAAGATTTTCGGATTTCCCACATTAAATGCGCCTGGTACGGACGATTTTGGTAATGATTGGAGTTGATCTTGTCATCTGATCTCTTATACAGTCGCTCGGCGCACTCATTCGATCCATTCCTGTTCGGTTCATCCGTACGCGTCGAAGCGAGCGTTGAACTACCTCCTACTTGAATTTGAATTCACTCGTTCGGTCCAGACTCCGTACAAAAGCCCCTTGCATCGGGCGATACGGGTGGAGATGAAGCCGTGGGAGGGAGGGGAATTCCCGATGACGAAACCCATGAGATATTAAATGAATTCGCAATCGCTAGGACTAAAGTGAAATCCATTACTGACTTTGCTCATGATTGATAATTGATACGCTTTTTTTCTCTCTCTTTCTTGTGTGTTTGGTATAACCCTAGAATGGAAACTACCCTATTTATAAGGAAAACGCTAAGATCCAGTTGGTTTTTCCTCAAATGCTTAAAATCCACGCACACACACATATATGTGCGTGTAGTATTCTTGAGTTTCACGTATGTGTTAATTAATTAAAGATAGTATATTTAAATATAAACTTAATTTAATTAAATTAAATACTTTTTATGCAAATATTATTAGCTCATTTAATTTATATTTACATAAAGTAAATATATTTTTATTTTGTATATTCATTATGAATGTAAATAAAAGATTGTGAAAAGAAATTTAATTTGATATAAATATATGAAAGAGTGATAACAAACAAAAAAAAAGCTATTATATATTAAATGAATTCATAATTTGATTTTACTAAGTGTTTTATAATTTTAAATTTCTTAATAGACATGTGTTGATGTCTAAAAATGACCAAACAATGTGTTCGAACTGTATACTAGTTTGTATACTTGGTTCGGTTTGCACGAACAGAAATTAATATGGAGTTCGGTACCGAATGTGGACCGAATGGTCGTTCTATCCGTGACTTATATAGTATTTAATGAGAGCATTTACTCATTGCATTTAATATTGCCTCTTGTTTCTTTTATAGGAGATTTGAGGACTTGTTACAATCCTTTTTATGATATTTTATTCTATTTTTCTTTACAAGATATAATTGGATATTAGTCATTCAGCATTTCATGCATTTGTACTACTTAATCTAATATCTATCTAAGTAATGCGCCCAGATCGTTACACGTGTCTGCATGCATTGAGCTCCATTAGATGAAGATTTCTAGATTTCCCACATTAAATGCGCATACCTATTTTGGTAATGATAAGAGTTGATCTTGTCATCTGATCTCTTATACGGTCGCCCGACGCCCTCATTCGATCCCTTCCTGTTCGGTTCATCCGTACGCGTCGGTGCGAGCGTTGAACTACCTCCTACTTGACTTTGACCTCACTCGTTCGGTCCAGAGCCCGTAAAAAGCCCCCCTGATTCAGGCGATACAGGAGGAGATGAAGCCGTAAGAGGGAGGGGAATTCCCAACGACGAAACCCAGGAGATGTTCAATGAATTCGCAATCGATAGGACTAAAGAGAAATCCATTACTGATTTTGCTCATGATTGATAATTGATACGCTTTTTTTCTCTCTCTCTTTCTTGTGTGTTTGATATAACCCAAGAATGGAAACTACCCTCTTTATAAGGAAAACGCTAAATTCCAGTTCTATTTCCTCAAATGCTTAAAATCCACGCACACACACATAGTATTTGTTGAGTTTCACGTATGTGTTAATTAATTAAAGATAGTATATTTAAAATGTAAACTAAATTTAATTAAATTAAATATTTTTTATACAAATATTAGTAGCTCATTTAATTTATATTTACATAAAGTAAATATATTTTCATTTTGTATATTCATTATGGATGTAAATAAAACATTGTCAAAAGAAATTTAATTTGATATATAATATATGAAAAAGTGATAACAAACAAAAAAAGCTATTAAATATTAAATAAAATCATATTTTGATTTTACTAAGTGTTTTATAATTTTAAATGTCTTAGTAGACATGTGTTGATGTCTAAAAATGACCAAACAATATGTTCGAACTGTATACTAGTTTGTATACTTGGTTCGGTCTGCACAAACAAAAAGTAACATGGAGTTCGGTACCGAGAGTGGACCGAATGGTCGTTCTATCCGTGACTTATATAGTTGAGAGCATTTACTCATTGCATTTAATGTTGTCTCATGTTCCTTTTATTGGAGATTTGAGGACTTGTTACAATCCTTTTTAGGATTTTCGTTTTTTATTTTTTCTTTACAAGATATCCTTGGATATTAGTCATTCAGCATTTAATGCCTTTGTACTACTTAATCTAATATCTATCTAAGTAATGCGCCCGGATCGTTACACGTGTCCGCATGCATTGAGCTCCATTCGATGAAGACTTCTGGATTTCACACATTAAATGCACCTGGTACGGACGATTTTAGTAATGATTAGAGTTGATCTTGTCATCTAATCTCTTATACGGTCGTTCGGCGCCCTCATTCAATCCCGTCCTGTTCGGTTCATCCGTACGCGTCAGAGCGAGCGTTGAACTACCTTCTACTTGACTTTGACTTCACTCGTTCGGTCCAGACCCGTACAAAGGCCCCCTGATTTAGGCGATACGGGTGGATTCCCCTCCAGTCGTGTGGGGCATATCCGCTTCTTCGTTCAGGGCGAACGGGTTGTATGACTAGAGACGTATTGTGGATGGCGTGTTGACTCAATATTGAACATTCTTTGCTAAAATGCGCGTCCCATTAATCATAACGGTCGACAATAACTGCGACTCTTCACGTGTCACTGCCTCATTAGTGACCTCCGCATTTATGGCGTATGAGAAACGCTTCTCTTCCCCCAACGCTTAAAATTCAAATCATTGTGTCGCTTGGGTATCACATCAGGGGAGAGTTACAACGAGGAACAATATGAAGAGGCTCTTCAAGGAGATACCACAAGAGTCTGGATCAGGATCTCTTGGCCGAGCGCGCGGTGGTTTCTATCCAGAACGGCTATTGGCATCGCCCATATCGCGAATGGCCCACTCCGAGCGTTTTTTGGGATAGCGCAACTTACCAGCAACAGGAATGTCGACCGAGTGGTAAAACTGCGGACATCTATATAGTTACCACGGGAGATCCGAATGTTTTCCCCTTATAGCCGTGAACGTATTCACTGTCCACCCCCCCGGGTACGTTGGCGTATTCGAACGATCGATTACGTTCGGCCTCAGGTTTTCCCTTCCCCACATGCTGACCAAATACCTTCAGGATTGGGGGGTCGGTTTTTGCCAGGTGTCTCCGAATGCTTGGCTAAAGATAATTAGCCTGCTGGTGCTGTTCAGCCCGCAGGGATGGGAGATGCCGAGTTGTGATGATTTACGAGAACTTTTTCTGTGACGGTCTGTGACCCTAGGTTTAAGGATTTAATCGATAAGGTGCCCGAAACGCTCAGCAAATACAAGTGTTTTTGGTTGTGGGTTGGCCGAGGCTGGCAGACGCCCAAATCCCCTCCGGATGCCGGAGCGT